AGTACCCCTTTAGGTGAGCCAAAAGAGAAATTGCATTTATTTTATTACAAGAATTCCCATGATTCCCACTGACTTGCCGTTTTCATTCAAACGGCTTCAATTCCCTGTTCAAGTTTCCTTTGAGATTAGGTACTATTAACTAAGGACAAACATTTAGGTATGTTGGCGTTGATCTTCGTTCACAATGCTTTTCACGTGGTATAATATCAATTATACGTGGTATTTTCTCGAACTGGGGACTCAAATCATCTAATGATTTTGATTTCAACGGGAGATAGAACAAAAAACCTTATACACTCAGAAGTCTTATACAATTATTTATCAACAATAGAAAATTAGCATTTCTTTTATATTTGTATTAATTTTTAATAAAAATATATTTATCATTAATACCACTAGAAACATTTCAATATGTGTTCATTAACCGTTTTTTATATTTACTTGTCGATCACTTTAAACGATAAAATTTGAATAAAAAATTATACATATTATCATCGTCCGAAGTCAAAATAAACAACCAAACACAGACGAAGCCGTGACGGGTCGACTAGTTACTATTATAATTGGTACCTACACGTTTTGGATTACAAATTGTTATTTTTATTGGTTAAATTCTTATACAATAGTACTCAATAATTTTTGATCTTACCGAATGCTGATTCTTTAATTATCCCTTAAATTTTAGATAACTATAGATGTAAAATATACCTACATAGAAACATTTTATCTAGACGATCGCAGTAAATTGAATAACATTCTTATGAATATTTAAAATGTTATTCCAAAATATCAAATGGCTAATATTTATTGTTTACTTATTACATTAAGTATTTTTTATTCCAAATTTATAAGCAATTAATTCCTTTTTATATTTAATGTTTCCCTGGACCTTAGACTAGATTTTCTAATATTTCTTTATTAAGAGACCTAATAAGAATTAAAAATTTATAAACATGGAAATAGGTAACTTCAAGTTTTGAAGTAGACCAAGAACTACCTATAATCCACACAAAAATGTATAGCTCTTTTTTTAAATAATTGTGTAATTGGTTTTATAGGCTATTAGTCCACAGTCTACTGATAAATAATACATTAATTTAATTTTCCCGAAGTAGCCAATATTAAAGTTCATATAAATGTTCAATGATTCCATTAATTGTAGTGTGTTTTCATACCAAAGCTCTTTTTGTAATAAATAAAAAAAATATTTTAACAGTTCAAAATAAAAATATTTATGTTGACAATAACTATAGGCTCTAAAAATTTTAAAATGCTGTTGAATATTAATAAACCTAAATACCTGATAAATAAAAGGATAACTGTTTAATGACATTTCCTAAACAAAACAGTGATTTGATAACTAGAATATTTTTTCCTTCTTTAAACTTAATTTTTGAATCATCAAAAGTTTACTGCAAATTAACAATTAATAATTTCTAATATACATATCAAAGAGTATTTTATGAAAGAAATAAACATCAGTCACCAAACATATTTGCTTTTAGCTTTATTTTTAATTTGCCTATTTTAGAAAAATACCTTTTAACTGAATTATTTTAACTAAAATATCTACTTATACTAAAATGCTTCAATGTTGTCTGTTATTGCTTATTGCTTGTAAATAGAGAGTAGAGTAAAAGGTTTTTACATATTATTATTATTATATTTATTGAATTTTGAAGATTTAGAAGATTTAGCCTATATTTCCAGATTTCCTATTTAAGAATATAATATGTTATTCTTCATATGAAATCATATTTGTTTATTTTTTGTTTTAATAATTTAATAACTGAAAATAACACATTTTTAATTTAAAAATTAAAAATGTTAGAAATTGTCTGTAGCTATTTTTTTCTGATTTCCGGGAGTGAATACTTATATTTGAATTTGATTACTTATGATCATGGAGGTAGGGTGTATTATTACTTATGCAAATGCCAAATTGTAAATAATATTGTATACATTTTTACAAGCTATATTATGTTTATTTCAATAGTACAATATGAAAAAGGCTTTAAAAATTTAAGATTGTCATTTAAATTCCAAGGGGAGCGATGTATATATTGATTTTACAATGTATTAATTTTTTTGGATATTTTTTTCTAGTAACTTTAGCAACGTTTCTTATGGGAAAGTGAATTTAGGTGGGACACAACTTTAGAGATTAGAGATTAAATTAAAAAACTCACAGTAGTTTTTAAAAGCATTGGGAAAAACAAAAACAATATTAAGGAAAACAAAAATTTCTACGCAAAACCAGTATTTAACCAAATCAATATTGTGGTGTGACAAAAAAAATATTGACCTTAGATACTTTGAATTTTCATTAGGTATTTATAATACCATTTTTAAAAGATTTTGACTCTTTATGAGCTATTTATAAGCATAAAAAATGTTATAAGGCCATTTTCAATGAATGATAAAATGTTCAAAATATTTTCATTCATTTTGAGCTATTAATTTGTATGAAAAATGTTGGCTTTTTCACTTATTGTTGATAAAAATATTTAGTTATAGTATAATCTGTTTTTCTTACAGTACTATCCATGATAGCTAACTCAATTATAATTATAATAGTAAGAATTAACTATTGAAAATGATATCAGCATTCACAAACACTAGCATTTAAATACCTACACTATCACTATGACCCCAACCAAAAAATGATAATATTTTCCTTTAGGCCTTATTATTTTGTTTAGTGTATCATATGATTATTTAAGATCGCACAGTCATAGCAAAGATGATATACCTACATTAATTAATTATACATTACACTCAATGAACATAATTTCTACATTTTTTCTTTTAAAAAAGGAAGTTTGAAAAATAACAATATATTTTTATGACTTATAATCTTACATCCACAGTATGGTTGGATTCTAACCTTGAGATTTTATAGAGCACTAAGTGTGCCGCAGTGCACACAAAAATAGTCACTGGAAATTGTTTTTTTAACTTGTTTGTAATTAAATTGGAAATAAGTAGTTTGATTTGTTTAATTGTATTAAATGTCACTAAATCAAAAAAAAAAAATAAGCATGTTAATACATTATGTGCTAATGGATGGTAAATATAAGTACCACATCATTTACATGGACATCAGGGCCAATCTTGAAATAGCCTCCTGGAAGCAATAAGCACCAGATAGCATAAATACAATTTTAAAATTATTACCTTTTCTCCGTGATAAAAAATGTAATATTTTACCTTGCATTTATAAATATTCTTTAAATTTCATAAGTTAATAACTTTTGTTGGTGTTGTGGCTTCAATAATAAATAGCAATAAAAAAGAAATAATTCATTTAAAATTTAATTATACCAAATCTTTTAAAATGATGTCAATGTTATGCACTACAATTATATTAAATGTTGTACATTAATTAAAATAAATTTTGGATTTAATGTAATTTATTATAATTGAAAATAAAAAAAAAACTTAATTGCATAGTTAACGGTGACTTTATTTTTATCTTTTTGTTTGACTTTTATTCACCATTCAAATATTAGTTATTTTTTTTATTAGTTTACTTGCACTGTATTATTTAGTTAGCAAACATTATCAATCATGTATAAACTTTGCATTACATTTTTTCATTTTTAGATGATGTTATAAGCGTTAAAATATAGTACAACTATACAACATAAAATGTTGCAGATTCAGTAAAATGTCTTGAACTATGATCAGAGTTGAAAATGATTTTATTAATTGTATTTAAATACCTACGAATATATAACTTTGTAAATAATTAATTAAAATATATATTATATAATAATTTATTTAATTCAATTTAACCAGTATGTGGTGTTTAATTTCAAAAGCTGAGCAAATCATAATTTTTTTTTTAACTCAGTTAAATTTATTTAAGGTTTTCATAAGAAAGAGTTAAAAGTTGATACATTTTATTTTTGTATATAAACGACAACAGCCTTCTTAATTTCTTCCATTTCAAAACTACATAGGTAGTGTTTATATTATATTTCATTGAAGTTTTTTGTCACTAAGAAAAAAAACAATAAATTGTTACAAGCAGTAAGATATTGAGATTTATAAATAATTCTAATAAAATGAACAGCATCAATCATAGATTTCAATATTAGCCATAAGGTACAATAGGTATAACATTTTCAACTTATGTCAATCTTCAAAAATAATAAAACTAGTCTATTTTTAACACTGGTTTTGTGTTTACCAATTGTTAATAATTATGATTTAATTTCCAATAAGTACTTACTTAATTTTAACTAAACAATTTACACCAAATATTACCCAAAATATATTTTTGACAATGAAATAAAATCAACTGAAATGTACTTTAATTAAAACAACTTAAATATGAAAATGTAATTCTTTGATTTTACATTAATTAAAAAACAATTAAGTTAAGTTTGTAAATAAATTCACAGAAACTCAAAAGTAACTAGTTAAGATAAAAGAAGAACCTAATTTTTAAATTATACATTTTTTAATGTCCAGCCGATTCATTTTCCTAATTTACTGATTAAATGTACAACTGATTTCTAATTTAAAAACAACTATTTTTTAAATTTTTATTGTAAAATCAAAGTAAAAAAGTAATATTATTTTTATTCTTTTCTTTACTGTGAGCAAAGTTAATACATTTGCCAAAATTAATTATAGTGAAACCTCTAAATACTGAACACTCTCAGTCACTGAAATGTTGTCCGCTATTCAGAGTTCAGTTTGTTGGTTGTCCCCAAGAAATATTTGCTATTTAGAGGAGTCTTAGGGGAGGTTTCACTATATATAAAATGTAAGAAATTTCAAAATACTGTTTGTGTATAGCATAAGAAATATAGAATATATAAGGTATTTAAGCATTTGAAATAGTATTGCTTGGATAGTAATGTAGAAGATATGAAATAAGAAAATGTATACATTTGAACTTAATGATAAACACAACTATTAATTAATCAAAGGAAATATTTTCATACCTGAAAAAAAACAATGATAAATATTTTTGTTTAAGACATTAAATTGTATTATGTTGTAAAAATAATTACAAATACTTAAAATATATTAGATATAAGCCAAAAAATTATCCCAATACAAAACCATTATATTTCTGATACATATCTTAAATACTTATCTTCGATACTGCCCAGCCCTGAACAAAAACTTAATTTAAAGAAAATTGAATCATTAGTTTTTAGTAAATTCATAGTTAAAAGTATTACATTATACAAGTATTTATAGAGAAACAAACTAAATATTTAAAAAATTTAGGATCTAATAAGATCCAATATATTGAAGTATATAAATTTATTTATTTTTGTTAATTTAAATTTTTGATGATAAAGAGATAATTAGTATAAAAATAATAAAATAAAAAAATTGTAATTATGAATCTGTAAATGTTTGATTTTAATGATAGAATTAAAGTCTTCAGTTTCTCTTTATAATAACACACAGTCTTTAAAAATAGCTATGAACACACATAATATACTCTAATTAATTTTAATCCACAGAACAGTTGACACAGATGCAACTACTAAGGCTTTAAGATCTTCAAAATCAATGATGTCAAACATAGTTATTTGACCAATGTCCAATTTTACTTCCAATAATATATTCTCGTCCTTGAGATTAATTAAATCATCCATACAGTGCAAACGATATGCCAATAAGAAACCATTTAGAGTTCCAACAAACAAAATATTTGTATACAAGTATATCGCAGAAGCTCCTGAATATTTTTTCTTCAACCATGAGCTTGCCATAATACACGAGTTCTTATAAATACCATGAATTAAGATGCTATTTACCTGATTCCGACTGATTATCAACCCATGAACTACTGATGTAAACAAAAGGTAACTTAAATGTGGGCATAAATGACCTTTGATAGCTTTTGAATTAGTATTTGAATGCCATTCATACCATGTTTCTCGGACCCAGCAGCATACATTAGTATAAGCGCACATGTCCACATCAACAAGTTTTCCAGTATAATGTTCTCTTCTAATTCCATCATGTACTACTTTAACTGTGTTATGCAAAGGGCACACATTTGAATGTTCTTCACGGCATTCAATGAAAGTATTATCTTCTCCAGTTTCTTGATTTGTTGTAGGTCTAGGATTTAACACTACTATTGTGTTTAATTTGCAATCTTCTATATTAGCAGTTCTAAGATCATAGTCTCCTGTGTTCTGGTTTTTTGTAAGTGAAAACATATACATAAAATTTGAAAATACAATCATGACATCAAGTTTATGACAAATAATTTTATCTACTCCATTAAGACCCAAAAAATTGTGTTGTGCTATACGGGATATTTTAAAATTAGGATTTTGCCATTCAAGCCATTTTTTATAAGCCATTTCATAATGAACATCTGTAAGTAAATCAAATGGAATATTACTATCAAACTGTTTGGTTAACAGATCAATTAAATATTTCTTTGGTATTTCTTGATAGCAGATTTTTTTCCACAGTTTATTAAAACGAAGTGCATTAGTAGTAATATCATGACATGTCTTTGACAACCGTTTGAATTTAACCAAAGTCTCGCCATCAAAATAACAAACAATTTTTTCCAACACTTCAGGTGGTAGATAAACCTCACGAACGTTTTCTGTTTCATTGACTTGTTTAGAAATATCAGCACTATAACAAAGTAAAATTAAAGATGTTAAAAAATAAGTCAGTTACCAGTAATATATTTTTTCTAAAAATAAAAAAAGTATAGGTAAAATACTAAACTATACTAATTTAAATACAAGGCTCTTTTTATTATTATTATAAATACATTTTACAATTGGCTTAATTTTTACATGAAGAGGATGCTACCCACGAGTTTGATGTCTCCATCTTACCAACTTACGACATATCAAATTTTTGATCATTAGTTTCAATAGTGTGCTGTTAGTTCTGATATTAGAGTGAATTGACCTATTATAAAAGTTTTAGGTAAGAATATTATCTATGCTTAAGCGTCAGCGGATTTTTGGATATTTCAATTTTCAAGCTAGATATGAACATTTTTGATTTGTATTATTTTACATAATCGTATCTTGCTTGAAAATGAAAATATCGAAAATTTACTGACGCTAAAGTATAGATAAAGTTCTTACCTATAACTTTTATAATAGGTCAATTCACTCTAATATCAATACTAACAGCACACTATTGAAACTAGTGAATGAAAATGTTCTGTTGTATGTGCATAAGATGGAGAAAACAAATGCATGGTCAGCGTCCTTTTAAGAGTTAGTGAATGGATAGGTGGTTCTAATTGATGAAACTTATGTACACCATTTATATTACATTTGTCTTTTGGGATCACTTGGAATAATATGAGCAGAAAAGTCCGAGGCGTGAGGATAGTGAAGGTTGGAATGGATAATTGTGTAGAAAGTTTTAGTTTCATTTCAAGGGTTTGGCCCATAATTGGAATCCATAGGACGGTTGAAGAAAAGCTAGTGCAAAAGGTCTTATTTTAAAGATTAATATACGTGGTTGTAAGAAGAAGCCATAATTTTAAGAGGATGTTAACTTACTATTGGTTTTCTCTGAAAATAAATGTGGGTTAATCCACAGTCTACATTAAATTTCTATTTAATTTATATCTGCTCCCAAGAAAGAATTGGCCTATTCGACAAAAAATATTTTATAATAATATTAAAAATATTAAATGGTTATTAGTGTGAGTGCAAGGGTGTACGGAAAATATGCACACAATCACAAGTACATGTCATTAACTAACTGACAAAAATGACTTCATGGAATAATGAATAGCTCATTAACAACTGAATATTTTCAGATTATTAATTTTTAATTGATAAGCAACAACATTTTAAAGACCGTATTGAACTCTTATTTTCAATTTGATTTTAAATTATGGTATAAAATAATATGTAAAAAAGCTATACATTTTCATTTTTTTTAAAGACTAATGATTAAGTTTGATATTAAAATATTGAAAAACAATGTTTGATGCGGGCTATAGGATATTTCTGTCTATAAATTAAGAAAAAAATGATCAAATTTGGTTGATTCTACTGGACGTTATCATTATTTCTGTAAAGTGTGTTTTAGAGGACAACTATTATCATCAGACACCTTAATGCATAAACAATACCACAATAAATTTCATTATTGTTTTAAAATAAAAGCTTCTAACTAAATAATGATCAAAATAAGTTAATAAAACAGGTAAGATTATTTTTGTTTTCAAATATAATGGGAAATTCTAGTTTATATCATGTTCTGATATATTGATAATCGATCATACCCAATAAGGATAACAACAAAAACCGAATTGATTATTTACCTATTCAGTTAAAAAATAATAATTATTCTGGCATTAGTAATGTGATTATGGCTATTAAAATCAACATTTATAATTAAATTCTATAACATAAAATTATAAAGAACCAGATAGTTAAAAACATAGTAAAATTGTTATATTATAAATTACAATTAGGTACTACATTGAACATTTTAATAATATTATTTTTTTTTCATCACAATTTCAACAACTTAATATTGGGTTTTATTATAATTTAAATCAACAACTTATATTTAAAAATTTATAAATATTTTTAAGTAAGTCCTTCTCAACTGAAATTAAAAGAAATTTTTCATGTGGTTTAGTACATATTGGTTTTAAAAAGTGGTTTCACACCTCACATGTATACCCACACACAACAATTAATTAATATTATTATACAGTATACACTGACGGACGACAGCAAAGTATCTCTTGCATTATCGATTCTCCGGAATGGAAAGCCCAGTGCAGTAATATACAACAGCCCAATTTTTACACGGCTACCAAAATGTTTTTTGTAACGCCGGTTCAATGTGACCCTGAGTAGGCCAGAGTAACAGACATTTTTATGGTAGGAAGAGGTAAGGTTTTCGTGTGATACCTAGACAATGACTTGGTCTGAGTGAATGTATTTCGACTCATTTGGATGGATACCAACATTTTTATAGGTACCACATTTTACATGTCTTGAATATAAATATTATCTTAATTAAAACTTTATAACTAAATTAACAATACAACAGAGCTAAGCACTTTCGTATTAAAAGCTCATTTATGAAAACTATTTACCGAGGATTTATATTCAAAGATGAAAGAGAAATGGCGTCCACTGAATCCATGTCACTCCATGCTGGGCATATTGAACTATCCATTTTGAATTTTTTTATTTTCGTCAAATTACAATATTGAATCACACTAAATCATGTACATAATACGGAAGAACTAACCTCACTAGTCACTAGTACACTGCTCACACCAGTCACACTTTTTAGTAGTTACTTGTAGAATGTTGAAACCGTGCGTCCGTGCAAACGCCGATTAACATAACCTTATCACTTATTATGTCAGCACTCGTAAATGTTTGTCATACGTACAAATTCATGGAGAAATATTCATCGCTTACAGTACATTTTTGTTTTATACCACGAAAGTGTTATGTATGAATCCATATCACGATTATTTTTTTTATATTCTGTGATATCTCTAACTTAACAGTTTGACACAAGTACACAATGATTATAATATGGAAATATTTTGTGCACACAATTCTTTATAATCGTGTTTGACCCAGACCCCGATTACGCAAAAGACACAAAAATATAATCATATACGTATTAATACATTACAATAATACATTAAATATTGTTTTATATTTATGTAGATAAATGTGATATATCATATATATTATTTATATATATCAAAAACGAACAGGCTGACTGTAAAAAAATAAAATATCTGCCTCAGTCCAAGACACGCAATAAATGAAATTATAATTATTTTTTATGTCTTTACACAGAACAGATTAAAATAAAAAATTGTCCTTACATAATAACTTTACTGACTACAGTAGATAAATAACCGTAGCACTGTATGTCAATATTTCATTATATGCTATATACCTATCTAATCTACAGTGACCTACTTACGACTCAAATTGTTAATATTTGTCATGTAATATACTTTAAATATGCATTATTATCTTAATTCGTGGTATTTGGCATTCGTATAAAGTTATAAGCAGATAAAATTATTGTTGGGAACTTGTGTTATAATCCATTTTTTCACCATTCTACATAAACTGCGCCGATGCAGTTTGTGTTTCACTTGGTAGATCCTTCGATGCTCACTGTATGTGCTTTACTTTACTGCACAACGGTGGTTACCAAAAAGCCCGTAGTCAAAATGTTCGAAGCATAGAAAAATAAATGGTAAAAAAGTTTGGACAGTAAAATGTCCACGGTAAAAAATATCATCACGTCATATAATTAGGCAAAAGGGAAAATACGATGTGATGACTATCAAAGTTCCAATCAATTTTAATATTAATTTTAATTAAATGATGTACCTGGCCAAATTAACAACTAATCTTGTAGTTATCTAAAGCGATATCGGCAGCATCAAAACTTGTTGATATACTTAAGTAAATACCCAACTACCTACTTTTTTTTGACTCTGAATACAGCTCGAATTTTGAAAGCATGCAATATTGGACCATTGATTTTATCTAAATGATCTATTTTGTCGAGGTTTGGTCGACTTTATTTTTAACCAAGACCTAGTATAATTATATAATAACTATAATATTTTTTTTTCATTAAAATTATTATTCCTATTCGTGACCGTCGTCACTCGTCCGTCATGTCAACTTTTTAACTACGAACCTATTGGTTATTATATAATGTATTCACACTGTTCTACTGTACGCCAGAATTCGATACTTCAAATCATCGCGTTTACATGGCATCGATTCAAGAAACTACCCACAACTTTAAACCTAAGTGTACCTATGTTTGGAGCATAAAATCTTAATTCTTAACAACTACTGGATTGATTTTGACGAAAACCTCAGAAAGTTTAAAGAGAAAGAGTTCAATCCACGTTGAAAAATATAGCAAGAACTAGAATCCAATACACGATTTTCGGTTGGCATCTAAGTCGATACATTTGACTCCTACAATACAGCAAGAGTATACTGGCAGGAGCCTTTTACAAATAATTGTAATGGTAAGTTTATCATACATTAATAAATCACAATAATAATAATATTGTAAATTGTAATATATATGATAATATTATATATTATGTATTATATGATAATGTTAATACATTATATTAACATTATCATTTATCAGTAATCACAATAAAAAAACGCTGCCCATGATGTGGCCTTAGATCATATACTATGGATGGAGCCATGGCCTATCTCGCCTGTGTAAACAATTTGAAGCACATATTAGCGATGAGTCCTCCTTGAGATTCGTTATCTGCGCATACGCGAGTATACTCATCGCATATTTATTTTTTAAATAAACGCGGGATTTAATATTCAAATAAAATATAATAACATAATTGTTTATTTTATTTATTTGCAGTGGCGTGTACCGTAAAAAAAATAGGTGTTGCTCTAATAAATGTTGGTGACCTACCCCTCATTATACTGTTATACCGACCTATAAAATGCCCTATTTTTCTTTAATTAATACCCACCTACCCATATTTAAGGTGTTGCCTTAGCAACACTTAAACCCTATGTTACACGCCACTGTTTATTTGTATTTGTATTTTTATTTGTTATTCAAATGAATAATGTCCAATTTCCAATATAGTAACAATGTAAAACAGACATTAATTAATAATAAAATGAAACATTTAGAAGAGAAAAGAAAACAATATATACAATTATTTACTATTTTATATTATTACTCTATGCATTGTTCATTTGGGTAATATTGTAACTTATAATACAAAATATTTAACTATTAATACTACATAACTACAGAGTACAGAACATTCAACATTACTAACTACTGATTATTAAGTATATGATCTAAGGATGTGGCATACGTTAGTACTTGGCATATTAATATGATAAGTGATAATCCAACTTAAAAACAGTGTATCGGTGTTCTTTGTCCATTAGGTACTTACGTCAAATACTCTATAATGTAGAGTATTTGGGTAGGCCGTTAATACATTATAAAGATTCTAGATACATAACTGTAATAAAAATATGATCACTATTATATAGTTATGCAACAAAACCATGTAAATAATAACACATGAGTTAATTTTAATAGTTACATATTGTTAAAACTAAATTGACAATTTATCATTTTTAAATATACGAATTTAGACGATTAATGGTATCCACTGTCCATCATCAATAATGACAGCCAAACGTTAGGAAATGCTCACTGAGCCGGGTAAGATGGCAATTATATTAAGGCTCTCTAGCTTATTACACAGACGGCCCCGACACTGAACTTTGTAAGTACAAGGAGGTACACACTTCACTTCATGATATTTTCATAGTTTATAACCAATACTCATTTCACATTACACTGAATTCCGTTGAAAATCAAAAAAGTTTATGTCCAGTTTATTGTTGTGCAATTCCGTGTCACAGTCAACGATACAATATTGGCTTTTACTGTATTAATTTTATAATTATATTCTTGTTCCGCTCTAAAACTAGATACCTATCATTTTTGTATTTAACATTGTATTCCAAACAATAAATTGATTATTTTGTTAACCAAAATTATTTGGTTAAAAACAAGATGACTGAGAACACAATCAACAATTCACAATCAACACTCATAAATTAAGATGACAAAATAATTCCTGCACTCACTTAGTCACTTCATTCACTTTCATCAGGCAATGGTTATGGTAACTTGTTCCTAAACTCAACTGTTTTCATGTGCATATATCAGAAACTGTAATTATTCTGTTTCTTGTAGGAACTATACACCAAGAACAATAGTATTTTATGAGTATACTTCAAACAATCCAAGTGTCAATTTGCCACAGCCTTGGCACATGTGTTTTCATCCGACGAACAAAATTAATAGTTGTGGGATAAGAGTATGTGTGCGAACGCCGGGGCATTTGGATTAGTTGGAGCGTGCTTATAAAAACGACTGACTTTGATAAAATTATATCTAAGCCCAAAGATTCCACTAGTTCATATCAATAATTAGATTATATGAAATAGGTTCATGAATACACAATAGGTATGTCGTATGACGTATGTGTATTGAGATAGTTATCACCGACCTAACAAATCTATGAATGAACATATTTATGGTTTGAGCTTTATCAAAAAAAAAGTTGAACAAAAAATTAACCTATGGTTTAAGTTGTATATTAATTGTAAAATGTTAACAGAGATCATAAATAAATTGATTTTGTGTTCATAATATTAATAAGCTTATTTTATGTATTAATTATTCATTCCTACCTTTCAAAAGAAATTCCACTGCATTTTTATAAATGATACACATAATGTTTATTTATTATATACAATTATTTTTAAGTTTTAAAAATGCATTTATGTGAGGTTTTAAAATCTAAGCTGGGTTGTCTTTATAATATTTCTATGTGTATCAACCACAGAATAACCGAATTCATAGGTTTGTGAGAAAAAACTTTTTAAAATTGGTATGTTATAATAAGTGTTATTTATAAACTTAATTGGTCAGTATTTAGATTGAACACTGGATACATCTAATAAAGAAGAATTGAACATACCATTAAAAATTGTGATAAGCATAATAGTCTGTACTAAAACTAAGATAGGAAGTACCACTAGCCATAAATAAATGTATCAGGCATTAGTCGCAGCGCCTGCCTTCTGAAGTTCAACCAATTGAACAGAACATAAAGTTGAGGTATTAAAAATAAAAAAGGTAAATAAAATTAATTTTATAGAAAACAAAGATAAAACAATTCATTGTAAACACTTTTTCAAAATTATAATGAAACAGTATTTTAAAACACACATTTTTAAACAATATATTTATTTCCTAATATTTTATGATGAATAAAAACCATTGAATGAATGAAAAAAAAACTTATGAGCATTATTGCAAGTGAAGAAATTTGATAGTGATTATTTTGTTATTGGTTTCAACTATAAATATAAAAATAGAGTATGAATATATATTTTTGTTAATTTTAAAAACTATTTGTTGATCTTAAATTTTTCTAATTACTATAGCTAAAAATGCTTATTTAAATAAAACAATAAATTAACTTCAACTGTTGATATTTAGAAAATATAATAATATTGTAACTGTTTTACATGAAAAACAATGGAATAATCTCACATTCAAGATATAAATTAATAAACAAAAGATGGAAAATTAATAGTAAGTCATTAATGCCAATGTACTTCACTAGGATGAGTAATTTGACCAAGTTTTATGAATCTCGTTAAATTGTTTTGAGCAGTTGATTGGGAATTTTTAGATTGTGGCTGTGGCAATTTACCATCACGTTTTAACACTCCAACACAATTCCAGATGTCTACTGTTGCTAAAAAAAAAAAATATTTATTAAGACCATTTTAAAATTAATTGTTATCTTCTAGAACTTTGTAAATTGTAAATCTATAACATGTAATAAATTTAAAACAAACATATTATTAAAACTAACATTTCCAAAGTCTCACACATCCATCATCACCGGATGATGCTAAAACGGTACCAGTTATATTCCATGCAACACGCCAAACAGTACTCAAATGATCATTAAATTGAGCCGCAGTTTCAATAGTATACGGGAAATCTCTTGCAGCACCACTGTGTAAAAATATTTCTATTAAAAATTAGAAATAAAATCAATTTTTCAATAGCAAACTTAAAAACTTTTGTACATACACAATTGGTCTGAGTTTTAATATACGAACATTATTTGTAGCAATTGCTAACAAATAAAATGATCGTCCCATATTAGGTGCAAATATCATGTCATGTACTGGATGCTCTACACTAGTTACAGATTTAGTTTTGGCCCATCGACGAGATACTTTATTGTATTCACATATAAATACTTTACTGTTTGTAGTATTAGAATTGTCATCACTACCAACTGCTATCATTCCAATTGGATTTCTATAAATAAAAAATGTTCAGTATTATTGTTAAATACTGTTAAAAAATGTTTAGTAAATACAACTTCAAATTATTACGTGGATAATAAAGGATTCCATGTGAGACAACTACTAGGCAATTTCAATGATACTTCATGTTGCAATGGCCATTCAGCAATGTTCATTGCGTCTGGAGCTTCATAAATTCGCAAAACTCCATCAGCTGAGCAAGTTGCTAAATTAAATCCAAAAGATTTTGGACCAAATTTTACATCAGTTACAGAAGTGACAGAATCAACTAAGTTTGCTCTATGCACCCAATGACGTAATACAGTTCCATTTTCATCACTTTCTCCTACTACAAAAAAATAAACATTAAATATTGTCATTAAATTGCATGAAAGACACAATTTGGAAATTATAATTGTTACATATTTCTTCCCATATGGCTGCGGTTCGGTCAAAAGAACATGTTGCTAACACTTGACCAAAATCAGGATGTGCCCAAGTCACTTTCCAAACAGATCCACTATGAGCCTTCCAACTAGATGACAAATTCCAATTACCATCTACATCTTGGTCCCAAACCTATATTTAAAAATATAAAAAATTAAAATACAACATTTACAAATACAAACAGTCAACAGGATTACCCTTACTTTAACGAAATTATCGGTCGAACATGTTGCCATTCTATCTCCATAGTAGTCAAATGCAACATCGTGTATTAAGTCTTTGTGTTCCGAATTAATACTGTGTGCCTCAACCATGTTTAAATTTAATAATTTAGTATGTAAACATTATATAGGCTAAAAGTATTCTGTTGTATTAGCGGTAGGTAAGAAAACTTGCGTAATAAACAAACGAACGATAATATTTAAATTTACAAACATTTAAAATTCAACATTTTTTTTTTTTTGCAAATAATTATGATAAAACATAACCTATAATAAGTATACTACTTAGGAGTATATGTAATCTCTTTGGGATGGATAGTTTCACAAATTGCAAACAGATGGCGTTTAACATACAAAAGAAAGTTTACTATGATTTTTTTTAACGACCATTGATAAAGTAAAAACTATGTGGGATGAAATGGTTCAAGAAGATTACAAAAAGATTTGTGAAATATAAATCAGCATATTTTCAATACAAAATAACTAACTCAGAGAGGACAAAAATTTAAGAATTTCTTATATTTACCATTATTCAAAGAACAATGAATATTCATATCACATGACTGAAGAACAAGTTTATAATGCTTAACACTTTTTAAATCCATTGCATATTTAATAATATACCTTTGAGTTTAATACCAGTTGAATTACACAATCGTTTACATTAAATAGTGTGAACACAAGTGAGAGGGTACATAAATTACAGATAGTTTTTTCAACAAGTAAACATCTTCTAATGTCTGTGCTTCTCTTTGAAATTCCATGTGTGGTACAAATCTGAAATTTGAACAATATAGTTAAAAATTTTGATTGATCTATTTTATTTATACAGTAACAAGAGATAATAGTGTTTAGCATTGTTAACATATTGAAAAATATTTAATAAAATGCAGAA